GATGCGGTGGCTCACACCTGTAATCCCAGCACTTTGGGAGGCCGAGGTGGGAGGATCACGAGATCAAGAGATCAAGACCATCCTGGCCAACATGGTGAAACCCCATCTCTACTAAAAAATACAAAAATTAGTTGGGTGTGGTGGTACGCGCCTGTAGTCCCAGCTACTCAGGTGGCTGAGGCAGGAGAATTGCTTGAACCCAGGAGGCGGAGATTACAGTGAGCTGAGATTGTGCCACTGCACTCCAACCTGGCACCTGGTGACAGAGCGAGATGCTGTCTCAAAAAAAAAAAAACCTGGAGGAAAATTCGCATACAGTAGATTTCAAGGGTCCATTTTGATGAGTTTTGTTAAATGTGTTACACCCATGTCACCTCCAGAGTTAGATCTCCCTTTTTTCTGCCACCAACTTATTGAATATCAGTTCTGTGGAATGTCTCACATTCTGAATTTGTCTGTTGGCTGCCTCCTGGCATCATTTACATTATTTCTCCATTGCCTATATTTCCTGTAAACTGCAAGTTGCTCTAACATAATTATTGGCTTTAGCTTTTTGCAGGGGACGGGAATAAGGTTCAGATGGCTAAGGTTGGGCCGAGTGTGGCAGCTCATGCCTGTAAGCCCAGTACTTTGGGAAGCCAAGGTGGGCAGATTACTTGAGGCCAATAGTTCAAGACCAATCTGGCCAATATGGTGAAATCCCATCTCTACCAAAAATACAAAAATTAACAGGGCATGGTGGCGTGTGCCTGTAATCCCAGCTACTCTGATGGCTGAGGCACAAGAATCACTTGAATCTGGGAGGCAGAGGTTGCAGTGACCTGAAATCACACCAATGCACTCGAGCCGGGATGACAGAGCAAAACCCTCTCTCAAATAAAAAATAAAAGTAAAAAAGAAGGCCGAGATCATCCCCTCTATGGAGGTACACTTACTTCACAGTGCATCACATCCACAAGCCCACAGTATCACGCTGCCTCCCTTTAGTCATGGCAGGTGGTAACCGTCCGATCTCCTTATTGTAAAGATCCTTATCTAGGCCAGGTGTGGTGGCTCACGCCTGTGATCCCAGCACTTTGGGAGGCTGAGGCAGGCAGATCACGAGGTCAG